CAATGCGTATCTTTTTTTGTGACACATTCACTTCTAAGAAAGACTTGTCACATCGGTCATGTGTGAACCATGTATCATGATCCTCTTCTAAAAAGACTAACCAAAAGCAAAAATTTTTTAGCAAATTTTAGAATAAATCAGTTTGTAATGTCTGTGACATCCACCAGTGTTCTGTGGATTAAAGTTTCAGCCTGAAGATTGGAGCTGAATTGTGGTAGCAAACAAATGTTAGCCTAGTTATGAATCTTAATACCTAAGTGTGCATAAAGTCGATAGGAGTTGGAATAATGTTATGAACAGCCCTCTCAGCCCTAAAGGCAAACTGCAATGGAAAGCTTTAAGGCTGCTTTGTTCATGGAAATGGAACTTTACTGGACAAAATTTTTATCAGTATATGATTAGTCAAAACATTAATATGTGTGACTGAGTAAAGAACGTAATTACCATTAGACAAAACTTTCTGAAATTAAGTGTTAAGTTAAGCTAAATTAAGTGCATTTTAAGCTTGAAACATGTTTCAAACTCCCAAACACAACCTTCTGTACTATGTACAGTACAGTTGACAAAGCTCTCTGTCATTAACAGCAGAGGAAAAATATGAAGTGAGAGTCAGACTGGTTCATGTGTTGATTCACCAATACTCTGCATGACAAATACCAGGACATGAATTACTTTGTTCTCCCCAGCTGCAAGATGTAAAAATCAGTCAACTTGTGTAGAGTAAATAAATACATATACGCCAATTAGCTAATGTTAGCTGTGGCTTCTTTCGCTGTGCTGGCAGTAACTGCATGCTGTCACTGTGTTTTATTTTTTATTTTTACATCATCAACAAAATCTCTTTGAGGTAGAAGAAGTGGGGCCATGTGATCAGTTCCACACTGTTTAGCCAGAGGTTTTGTTTTTATGAATAATTCATTCATTTGCAGAAAAGGAGAAGTACAAGTTGGTGAGAGCCTTTAAGATCATGTGAATTTTATATGAAAAATTCAAGATTAGTTTCCAAGACATAATTTAATCAGAACAAGGAATCCCAGTCTCAAGAGGTTTTGGCTGTTTGGAGGTTGCTCAAATGTGTGTGTGGTTTTTGTATTTCTATGGCTGTGTGAATGGTGGTGGGGAAAAAGAGGTGTGAAGCAATTGACTGGAAGTAAGTCAGACAGTCTGTTAGGTGGTTGTGAATATCCAGGATGCTTTATCAGGATGGACAAACTAGAGTCATTGTGTGTGTGTGTGTGTGTGTGTGTGTGTGTGTGTGTGTGTGAATGATGAATGGCTGTATGAGTAATGACTCTCATGTTATTAGGTCAGAGCTGCCCCTGAATATCTGGGGCTTCTGTGTGTGTGTGTGTGTGTGAGACATCTCGGTGTGTGTTTTTACTCTATGCATCTTTTATGGTAGAAAGGCAGTTTCCATGCTTACACAGTGCTTTCTGTCTAATGACAAAGACATGTGTACATGCACACACACACATGCTGCACACTCATGCTCTTTCACACACATACACACACAAACATTCATACACCACCCGGACAAGTGGGTGATTGTTTTCTGGATTCAACATGGAATTTTTCATTTAACATTTTATCCTTGCTGGGAATCGACACCTTATTCCTCCCACATTCCACAGTGGAACGGAAACCACTGTGTGTGTGTGTGTGTGTGTGTGTGTGGTGATGTCTAAAGCTATCAACAGCAGCATCCATCTGGTAATGATTCCACTGGAAAACAAAGGTCATTATTCATTCATTGATACATTACATTTCCAGATATGTGCATTAAATCCTGTAGGAAACACACCACAGATAACAGCTGCAAACCAAAAAGTGCATCTGCATTTAACTTCCATCGTGATTGAGCCTTACAAGGCAAATAGTCACAAAATCACATGTCTGTAGACAAATGGATTTTTTATTTCTTAAAGTTGCTTCTGCACTGGACAGTTGTACTCATCGGTTGTTCCAAATTGCAGTGAAAGGTAGGGTGCTGATGTTTAGTTGAAGCCAATGACAAGAAATTATATAACAAAACAAGACAGACTGGTCGATCATTGATTTAAAGGAATAGTTAGACATTTTTGGAATCATTCTTATACAAGTGTAAGATGAGCAGACTGATACCACTACATATCTGTCTGTTTAAATATAAACCTACAGCTAATAGAGGGTTAGCTTAGCATAAAGACTGAAAACAGTGGGAAACGACTAGCTTTGAAAGAAGCCAAGAAATAATTTGACACATAACCCCCCTAAAACTGCATTGTTTTTGTTTTGCTTTTACACTTTTTTTTTTGTACAAATTAAACAAATGAGAAATGATATGATAATGACTGAGCTTAGGAGGTTTTGTTATCTTTGGACAGAGCTAGTCGCTGTCTCCCCTTGTTTGCTAAGCTAATCATAAATGATCACAAGAGTGGCATTGATCTTATGTAAATATCATAAAGAAACGGAATGAGTGCATTTATATATATATATATTCTAACTTAGCTTTAGACAGTGAGTTTGTGGATTATCCAGACTAAAGGGTCGCTGATTCTGGAAAGATGCTGGTGGTGAATTATTTTTTTTAATGATATATTTCAGTGCTTTGAGCATAGTGGAAAGCTATCTGCATGGTTAAATACCAGGTAGGTGATCATTTGTAATTTGTTATGACTTGACCTTTTTTAGAAAAGACTAAGCAACATAATACAACTTATTTGACAGTTTCCTTTCACTTACCTTTTTTTGTCTGCTTATACACTTTGGATATTCCAGTTGAAATTCTTCACTTCCTGCAGATAACCTTAACCATCACCAAAATTCTCTCAACATCAAACATTTCTTTGGGTTCTTTGGTTTCTACTGGTGATTCAGGCTCATGTGTATTCTTGAGTTAAAAGACTATATAAATATAATGAATTTCTTCAGGAAATGAGTGGTTATTTTAAGAACACAGGGTTATTGGAAGAGATGTCTTGGACCTCCTCTTCTTTCGTTCTCTATTTATCATATAAGCCGAGCCTTCATTTACTTATTCCCTCATTCTTCCTTCCTCCCTTCTTCTCTGTCTCGCTCTTCTCTTTTTCCTGGCAGAGCTGAGAGTGCTGTTACCATCTGTCTGTGATGTGTCCTGGATGCAACTGTGTGTGTGTGTGTGTGTGTGTGTGTGTGTGTGTTCAAGGAAGGATGGCCAGGCTGAGCTGGGAATGGGGCTCAAATGGAGAAAGAGTTTAAGACAGGGAAAGAACAAAATCAAGAATTAAAAGTAGAGATGTAGTCAGAAAGTCAAAAAAGACACTGAAAATGATGTGTGAGTGTGTTTATGTTGCAAAAGTATAAGCCACAGCTGTGTGATCTACTAACCCTTTCAAAGACCTCGTCAGTGATAGAAGACGACCAGCTGAAAGAAAAGACACACACTGACACAAAGCTGTTTTCAGAGGAATGGTGTGTGTGTGTGTGTGTGTGTGTGTGTGTGCAAATGTGCATATTATATGCATACTTATGTCAGACATGGATCAAAGTGATAAATTTCTTGCACTTACTTAAATGAAAAGCTAATCCCTGATGTATAATGTGTGTATGTGTGTGTGTGTGCGCGCACTAATAGCAGCTTATAGCCATTAGTCAGTAGCTCTTTAGCAGTGATATCACTCACCAGCATTGAACTGAAACACCTACGTCATTCGGTAATCTACCTCTGGCAATGAATCTGTGTGTGTTTGTATATGTGTGTGTACATATGTGTTTGTGTGTGATCTAGGTTTTACAGAACGTTTTGGCTAGGGTTCTTTGGTTACTGCTGTGTGTGTGTGTGTGTGTGTGTGTATTCCCAATGGAGCATATGTTTCACTGCTGACATAAGTGAATGGGAGCTTCAGCGCTTGAGTTGTGTGTTATCTATGTCCTTTTTGAGCTTGATTAACCATCTGTGCAGCTGACTGTAAAAAAGAAAAGAAAAGAAGTATTCCTACCCTATAGCCAATTAGGTGAAGCCATGTTATTTTCCACTTAAGATAAAAAATTTTTTTACATAGTTACGCTTTTTTGTTTTACTGCTATTATTATGTAAGAAGAAAAAAACATCCACAGATTTAGCTCTCTGGGTTACACTCCAAAGAGCACCAACACAATTGATCCCATAAAGCCCTATAGGAAGTTATCCTATTCTTGCTATATGTTTTCGTGTTTATATGGAATACTAATCTCCTCTATGCTGTATTTTCAAAGCTCGCAGCAGGTGCAGCTATCCCTATTCACCTACCAAACTAAGACCTTATTCATCCATTATTTCTTTATTAATCCTCCAAACGGGATATTCACTCTAATCCCTCCTGTATATTACAGGAAGATTGTTGATGATGAAGTGCTTTGAATTAGTCTCTCAATCTCATCTTTTCATCTTTTCTCTGCCTCTCTGTAAATATTTTTTTCTTTTATATTGACATGATATGACTTGTTGTATTGTACCAAGGCTGATATACATGTATCCAGTACAAGAGGAAAAGAGAGATAACTGGTCCAAGTTATCTCTCTTTTAATTACTGTCTGATTGTTTGACTTGTGTGCACCTTTTGTTGCATTCCCGTCTCTCTATATCTCATTCTAGTGTGTGTAATTCCAGTGTACACATGACTACAGTAAACCCAATGGAAAAAGACACAATTAATAAAAGCTCCTCAACAAGGCAAAAAAGGTTTTTATGCTCACATGAAGTGGAAAATTGTTTTGTCTGAGGAAATTGCATTATCAACACTGATGGAAGCACACTGGTAGGCTGGCCGATACAGGCTTGGCATAATTAATGAAATATGCTTGTCATTGTTTAGGAATAGTTTGAGTTTTTTATTGTTCATGTCAGACATTTCTGTGTACTTCATTTGTTGACGCAATGGAAATGGGTCTTTAAGTCTGTATGTGTGTATGTCTATAACTGAATGACACTGACATCCCCTGTTCCTCTCTCTCTCTCTCTCTCTCTCTCTGTCTGTCTCTCTGTCTCTGTACTTTCCCAGGTAGGGCAGTTCAGTGAATTTCTCCATGAATGTACGTCACAATGATGATGACAGACCAGATTCCACTGGACTTGGCTCCGCCCCCCCTCCTTAACGGGGAGGTCCCTCTCATGCCTCACATGGTTAACGGTGACGCAGCACAGCAGGTAAAACACACACACACGCACACACACGCACGCGCTCTCTCTCGCTCTCTCTCACTCACAGTCTCACACTCTCACACACACACACACATACACAATCAGTTGTTTGCATTCAGTTATCTTGAACAGCTGTTACAGTAAAGGATTTGTCATACAGGGCCAAGAATAAACACAGATGCATACTTGCATCATTCAATCCTAGAGACTTTTATTTTTGATGGATCCCAGGCCTTAGTTTAAATTACACTAGAAAAGGATTCAGCTGCTGACTGACTGATCTTATCAGAAGCTTCAGAGCCAACTGGATCACCTTCAAAGTACAAAGCCCCACTCCGAGCTCTGCACAGACTAAGGGAAGTGATCAACGTAATTAAAAGCCTCACGGTTAATTGTTCTTGCTCTAATCCTGTTGTCACAGATACATTTACACCGTGTGCTTTTGGTAGATGAGAGCTGATGATGATGTTTATGTGTCCTCCCTGGTCTGTTCCCTCATACCCCAGAAGAAGCGTGGTGGGAGTCTTTTGGCTGCCACACATAACAGTTAGGGAGGGGTTTGGCTGTAACACACAGCAGTTAGGGAGTTCTTTTTATTGTAACACCCTGCAGTTTAAACTTGGTTCCCAGTGTGGAATCAAGGCTCTAGACCGATGATTATATAGATTTGACTCTGCCTGCATGTGTGTCCATGTTTGTGTGTATTTGTTTGTTTCTTTGTCTGTTTAACGCTTTGTGTTTCTTTTTCTGTTTCAGTGTCTGTGTGGGCACGCAAGTGTCGTGTGTTGAGTCTGAGTACATACCTCTGTGTTTGTGTCTGCTTGCTTGTCTATCAGCCTTCCTGTCTGTCTGTGTGTGGCTACCTGCCTACACCTGTTTATATGTGTTTATCTGTGTCTGTGTGTTCCTTTAGCACAAAGCAAAGAAATCAGATACATTGTTACGATGCAACAGTATATCATCCTACAATATTGAATGTTTAAAGAAATGTGATATCCATTATGGAGAACATCCTACAAAGAGCCAATGTGCACCTGAAACTCAGTGGAATTGCTCATTGAGGGTTTCTTTCAAGTGTTCCCGGGATTTACTGTCTATATACTAAGTTAGTATATACATACAGCATTTGATATTAGAATTTGAACCCCCAAAAAGGTTGATTTGTTAGTATTCAAAAAGTTACACTTTCCCCCCTAAGACATAATAAAGTGCAACATTTTCATTAGGAGTGTTAACGGCCGCTAAACAGAAATATTAAAAGAAATAATCATATTGCAGTGTTGTAGACAAGTGGAGTGAACTGCATGCCTGGATTGTTTTACTAATTTGCATAATTTAAAATGTCAGTGTGATTTTGAATTAAGGGTTTTAACAGAACTTGTTCCAGTTTCAGTTTGGCTGTCTGCAAACTGAAACAGCTCTTTAACTGCTCCCTGACAAAATTACAAAATAACAAAATAAAAAGCATAGCTAAAGAAGGTTTTGTTGTTGTTGTGAATGTCCATTCAGCCAATTCAGGTTTTTGCTCTTTATGTGACTTGACAAAACATACTTGTTTATACATACAATGAAGGCATCATCTAGGCACATTTTTATGGATTTTGCTTTAAAAATAATTTTGTGAGTTTTTTAATATGCTTTCAGTGCATTTGAACCAACATCTAGAAGTGCTTAAACTTAAAAACACCATTTTTGCAGATTTTATGGGTAAGAAACAGTCTGGCTGACTGGATCACTGCAGCCTCAGTGATGAATCAATTCTATCAAAACATAACCAATATGCTACATTACTATTTTACACGTACTATGATCTTTGCTTGTGTAGGTTTATACATAACACATATGTGCACACACACCAGCCACACCCACCCACATGGTCTAATATGGGGGGTTTTCTCAGTCCTTGGGAAACATGGGTCGCCCTGTACTATGCTGGGGTTCCCATAGCAACAGCAGCCGCTGCAGCAGACAGAGCAGGAAATGTGTGTGTGTGTGTGTGTGTGTGTCTGAGGGAGAGGAGCAGGTTAGCTCTGAGATGGGAGAGCATGCAGACATTACAGAAGGAACGCAGGATATGAGGATTTTACAGCACACTTGTAGAGCATAGACAGGGCTGTGCTTGTGTGTGCATGCATGTGTGCGTGAATACGTGTGTGTGTAATGGAGGGTCACCTGTTTCATGTCTACAGCCATGTGTACACTCTCAACAATCTGTATGCGGAGAATATGACGGTAAGCACCCTTTCGGCATATTCAGCAGAAACACTTGGAAATCAAAACAGTGCCACATATATTGACTTCATTTGTGTATGTCACCTGTCCATATGTTTAATTGTGATATATGCATCACTATGTAATATTTGTGTGTACTGGTTTTAATGGTTTTCTGCCAGCCAGTGTGGTTAAAAGAGAAAGGCTTTTCTCAAATCAGGGTGTGTGAGACAGCAGTATTGTTAGCTTATGTAACACCTCATTCAAATGTCTGTGAACTCTCTGTGTCTGCCCTACTCTGAGATCCGATGGTTATTGTGTATTACGCCACCTCTGCAAGCCTGTTGGCTGCCCAGCAGAGAGTCTGTCCTGTTTAGTTACTGCTGAGGATGTATGCATGATTATGACATTATGTGTGGCAGCGTGGCATCTGATTTTCCTCAATAAATCTGATCTGTCCTATCTAACTGTGTGATTTGTGTGTGTGTGTGTGTGTGTGTGTGTTTTTACAGGTGATCCTGGTGCAGGTGAACCCGGGGGAGACGTTCACCATCCGGGCAGAGGACGGCTCACTGCAATGCATCCAGGGTCGGTCCCATCATACATTATTATATTAACATATTAACATATGTGGCCTGGTGTCACTTTGAGACTGAGTATTTCCCATCACCTTAATTATATGCTGGCTGCACATGCTGTACAAAAATAATTTTTGTTGGTTGGAAATGTCATTTAGTGATTTTGCAACATCTATCAAGCAGTTAAGCTTAACGTAGAATATGCTAGTTTTTCTTTAATGTACGGTGAAAACAAGGATTCTTGACAGTGTATTTGTATTGTAACTTTGACAGAGCACAATGGTGCATAGTGTTATTGTAGAGATTGGAAAAATCCTTCATGACTTGGAAGCCAGACACACTTCAAAGCTTTGTTTAGGTGGAGAAACTACCAAATTATCCTTTTACTGACACCCATCATCATTACTGGGTCTGATTTCCAAAAACATAGCCTGAAAAAGGAATAGTTGAGGAACTGCATTATTCAACTGCATTATCATGCAATCATAAATTATGATCACTGTGGTTGATTACCTATTTCAAGCAAGTTTCAAGTCTCTATACTAATGTGCCTTTCAAAGAATACTCCTTAATTGTAGTAAAAAAGACTAGTTGAAAGCGCACAGTGACAGATTGGTGCAGAGTGGGCAGCCATTGTCTCACTCTCTGGTTGCATCTGATATCAGTACATGAAAAGACTGGAAATGTAACTCCACTTAGAGGCTCTTAAAGACGGAAGGAGGGCGCAATAACACGGGAATCCCCTAACTTTTGTGGAATTGCATCTCACTTTGATGATGTCACCAGCGTAAGCTACCTCTGAAACTTTGAAAGGGCGACCTTTGTTTTCTTCTCCAAACGCTCTCCTTCTGTCTGTCTCTTGCGTCTTCTCTCACTCTTTCTTTGCCCTTTGTGTGAAGGTTTTCTTTGAGTGAGAGCAGTATTGGCTCAGACACTGACTCCCCCCTGGAAAAAAAACTCACCACCACCCCATACTCTGGGTTGTAACTAATTACAGCCAGCCTCATTTTCTCCGCCCGCCGTGTAATTAAATTTTCTGAAATCAGAGGGATCGACCCAGGCAGACCTTAGAGGCACAGATAATGCTAGATAGAAACAGTACATGATGGGATGGACGGATGCAAAAATGTGCAGATACAGAACTGTGTAGATATTAATCAGTTGTGAAAAGATGGATTGAAGAACGGATTGTTTGTTGTTGAATAGATGAATGGGATACCAGACACTGATTTGCAAACATACCGTTATTGATGTAGTTGGAGTCTGGTGGTTGTCTGTTTATTTGTGTGGGTGCATGAGTGCACTTGCATGCAAATTTTAGCTTCAAATCTTCACAGACATTTGAAGGCACAGGGTGCTTTTTCGGTGCCATTTACTACAGTCGATGTTTGAACGCGCATATTATTAATGTGGAGGGCCATACACACACAAACTCTTGCTCTCTCTCTCTGTCTTGCTCCGGAGGAGGTCAATGGGTTTAATGAGAGGTGGAGTGTGGCTATGTGTTTTGAAGGCGAACTGACTTGCTTTTTAGACAGAGACTCTGTGTGATTACTGAGACCTCAGAGCTCTGGGTTTACGCATGCTTGTGTACTTGTGTGCCTGCAGAGTGTGTGTGTGACAGAGAGTGAGATTACAGAGACCTCAGGGCACAACCAAGAACCAGCTTTTATATAAAGTAACTTCTGTTTAGCTGCTGCACTGTGGTGCATGCATGCAGACATGCAGACATGCATACATGTACACACACAGACCCAGATGCTCTGCCAAGGCAGAACCAGTCTGGAGACGTCAACACACAAGCCAAAAGAGATTCTTTCATATGAACCTTTAGCCTTCCTTCGCCCTTTGCTCACTTCTCTCTCTCCCTCTTTAATTCCTTTTGACTTCATTTTCTCCCACCTTCCTCCTCTTTCCTTCTTTTCCTCTCCCCCTCGTTTTTTCTGCCTCTACCTTAAAGCAAACCTGGAGAAGCAAAGAGAATTGTATTTGTTGGAGTGATGTTAAATACTGCTCATTAGCCACACCACCGCTAAATGCTACTGGCTGAATTGTGCTTTTTTATTTGGATGGAAAGTTTACATAGAATTTTATCAGGCCACATAAAAATAATTTAGAATTGCACTCTGCACATTTAAATAAATTTGTTCTGAAATATAGAATGGTTTTCAGTTATTTTCAGTAGTGTGGGTTGTTTCTTTGTGCTACTTTTGTAGCAGTGAATAACTGTATCTGAATCTAAAATCCTCCTTTCTTGTATCAGTCTGCTAATTAGCAGGTACTGTGTGTCTACATGTCTCCATCCCGTTTAAACAGACTGACCTCTCTGTGCTCCGGGGGTCAGCTTCAGCTGACCCCACCACCCCCGTTGCCAGTCTATCTCTCACCGTCTCGCCATGTTGCTCTCATGTATACACTCTTCTCCCTCCTTTCCCCTCCCCCTCCCTTTCCCTCTCCCTCCCCCCACTAAGACCATTCCCCTGAGCTTTCCCACACTCACATCAAAGGACAAGAATCTAGAGGGTGTGTTAGAGCACCCTGCTATGGAATGTGAGTGTGTTAATATGTGTGTGTGTCTGTGTGTGTGTGTGTGCATGTGTGTCTATGCGTGTTTTACAAGGCTGTGTTGGTTTACTGTGTTGTTTGCTCTTTGTTGGACTTTTATGAGGGATGATGAGGCCAGGGGGTGAAGAGCAGGAAGCTGTGCTTGCCAGGGAGGATGTGACATCATGAGGCATGGGTGGCAGCAGCCACAAGTCCCCTGTGGAGTGCTTGTACTTTGTGGCCTTGGTAGAGATTAAGGATAGTCAACAGTGTGGTTTGATTTTTATAATATACTGTATAATACAACCTCTGAAATACTTACTGGATGCCCTCATCAACATCTCAATAAAGTTGTATAGAGATATAATATATGCTGCATTTGCCTTGACTAATCATTTTGCCACCAAAAACTTTATTTTGCATGTAGATAATGTTGGCAGGTAACCAGCTATGCAGTGGCTTTGTGATAAACAAATCTTGTTTGCGCAGAAACCTTTGTATCAACTGGACTGGAGTTCTTCCAATGTTATTTAATATCTCCACGCTCCTGAAATCCTTGAGGCCCGCTGTCATTAAGGACGTTCCACTTACCTTATTTCTTAGATGGGGGGTACACAAGAGTACCTTAGGTAGAATTCTTTTGTCAGACAGATACTCCCAATTGAAAATGTGTTAGTAATTGGATGCTGCATTGAAACCACATCCCCACAACACTTCAGGTTCATTAAATTACTGATGTGGATTGACAAATATTGTCAACATCTCCGATTAAATATTATTTCAGTTTTTTTTTTAGATTGTATTGGTTTATTCTTCACCAAAAATAAAATTGGACATGTGCTGATTATTGGTTTTCTTTTATTGTATTTACAGAACCTGCTTGTATGTGCAAAGTACATTATTGTTGCTCTTGTCAAAGTAATTATCTATTGGTATAATTTCCATCCTGTGATAGTGCAGCAATCAATCACTGTGTATCAGCTAAAAGTGACTTGAGTTGAATTTGGGCTGTTTTAATTTTCTACAAAATGGCTAGAATGAGGCATCATCATATTCTGGGATTGTTAAATGATGATTTTATAAATCAAAAAACAAATTGATAAATTCAAATGAAAATCATCCACAAGCAGCGTCTGATCAGTAATAATCAATTAAGATGATTTGTGTTTATTCGATTCCCACCTTATTGCACGTATTCCCCGTTTCTTCAACGGGAGGAACTAAGCGAGTAAGAGATATGAGGAGATGATGAAGGGAACTGAGAAGTACCCTGTGTTTTTCTCCTCTCCTAAGGGATAAGCATTTCTGTCCATTTCTCTCAGCCTCCATCTCTTTATCACTAAGCCTCTCTGTCCCTTTTTCGTCTCACTTGGTTTGTCTCAGTTTCGCCCTATGTCGGTGTTCGTCTCAGTTGGATGGATGATGCTGATATCCCTCTTGCCGGTTTTACCGCATCACTACACAAGCACACTTTGGTTCTCTTTCTCCAGCTTTCTGCCGGAGTGTGCACTTCCACGCTCTGAGCCCTTTGATGTAAATGGAAATAGCTGGTTGAGAGAAATATGTTGGAAAGTCTCGCGGTCTGTGTTTACACCAAGCCAGATGGCTCTAAACAAGCTGGGGGAGAAGACTCAAATACACTTTTCTCTGAAGGGCTTAATTTAGAGTACTGTTCCGGACAGTCCCGTTGCTGTTTGTAACTAGAGGTGGTTGTTTTGGGAACTTTTCAAACCTGATTTTAGTCTCACCCATATGGAACAGTGTAACAATCAAATGGTGCAATTAGAGGACTTAGGTTGGCTGATTTTGTCTATATTCCTGTTGACCTGTCATGTGAAAGGATTTACAGTATGTGTATTGAAATGTTTTACGTTTGAGTTATTGATCTATTTTGTAAAAATAAGAGAAAGTATTAGGCTATATTCTTTGTCCCAAATGTACAACAAAAAGTGTGCAAAATGTGAGTACTTGTGTATGGATATGTGTCTTTTTGTTTGTGTGTGTTGTGTGTAGACGAATGAGTATGTTGTTATTGTTATGGCACTTGGTTTTAGCCACAGGCATAATGAATCCCATAATAGGATTGGGCGATGTTTACAAAATTTCCATCGGACGACGTCTGCAATGAAACATCGGGATGGACAATGTCATCGGGTGCGTGGGCGCGTGCACGGGAGGCAACATGTGCACGTGTTCTCGCACAAACTTCACTCGGTAAAAGAAATTGGTAGACTATTAACTTACATTACATGTCGCATTTACAATCACGGTGCCAGCTCAACGTTGTGATGTCTGTCAGCCATTGCTGATGGATGATGGCATCGTTTATCGGCCCAATATTATCCCATAACGATTTAATGTTTATTGCATTTATGCAGTGCTTTAAATGATCAGTGTTTGTGTCTTAAGTTTCCTTTCCAGACATGATTTAAGTTCACCTTTACACCGCAAATGTTACATTCAGAC